ATGGAATGGAATGGAATAAGAAAATAGAATAAGGAATGGAATGGAATAAGGAATGGAATGGAATGGAATAAGAAAATAGAATAAGGAATGGAATGGAATGGAATAAGAAAATAGAATAAGGAATGGAATGGAATAAGGAATAGAATGGAATGAAATGAAATGGAATGGAATAAGAAATAGAATGAAATGGAATGGAATAAGAAATAGAATAAGGAATAGAATAGAATGGAATAGAGTAAGAAATAGAATAAGGAATGGAATGGAGTAAGAAATGGAATGGAATGGAATGGAATAAGAAATAGAATAAGGAATAGAATGGAATAGAATAAGGAATAGAATGGAATAGAATAAGGAATAGAATGGAATAGAATAAGGAATAGAATAAGAAATAGAATAGAATGGAATAGAGTAAGAAATAGAATAAGGAATGGGATGGAATAAGAAATAGAATAAGGAATGGAATAGAATAAGGAATAGAATAAGGAATAGAATGGAATAAGACATAGAATAAGGAATAGAATGGAATGCAATAAGAAATAGAATAAGGAATAGAATGGAATGGAATAAGAAATAGAATAAGGAATGGAACAGAAGAGAACATAATTCTTTATTGGCCAAGTATGATTGGAGGCACAAGGAATTTGTCTTCAGTGCATAAGCTCTCAGTGCACATAAATGATATACGTGATAAATCATGATCATAGTCATCCTAAAAAATACATTCATCATGAATCATAAGATACAACACTTAGCGATAGCCGTGGGATACTGAATAAGCAATCAAACTCCTACTAGGAAACTAAATAAAACAATATAAACCGTAAAGATACAAGCAGCAAGGTGATAGTCATAAGCGGGAGGAGATAAGTAATAGGAAAGATGAGAAGAAGAATAGTAGTACAGTCTTAGTAAATAGTTTGACAGTGTTGTGGGGAATTACTTGCTTAGCAGAGTGAAGGCATGCGGGAGGGACCGACCTGTCCCTGTGTCTAGTTATTCTGGTGTGCAATGCTCTATAATGTTGAATCAGAAGGAGATTAAATTCTGTACATAGTCCAATCCTACAACAGCTATTTGTACAATCCCCCTGAGAAAACCATTACAATTATTTCTTACTTGACAGCCCCAGAGAGAGAAACACGAAACCCTGTTACCAAAAGCTCCTCGCTTTCGCTTTTTGCTTTTTTAAACAAAATGCAAACCATCCATTTCTGGAGCTACGGACGCCGTCACGATTTCTGCCTGCGATGTAATTGGGTTTATGGATCTCTGTAAGGGTGTTTATGGCTGTGCTTGAATCTACAGTGGCCCGGATGATTTTTTTCAAAGGCAAGGATGCTAAAGACGCTGGAGAAAATCTAATTATCCTTTCCGATGCTTTCTGGGAAACAAGTGAAAAGCAACATTATCCTAAGTTCTCTTTTTCCCTGGTGTGATGAGTGTCCTTTTTGGCTTGGAAACAATGGTAATTCACCACCTGTGACAGGTAGGATGAGTGCAGAAGGAAAGCAGAATGTGTATTACCATCTCTTCATTCAGAAATTTTTACTCCCGGTTCTGTGGGCGTGGTTTGGTGGGCGTGGCGGGGGGGAAGGATACTGTAAAATTTTAGTATTTTTTAGTATTTTATTGTCACTTATAGGCCGCCCTTTTCCCTGAGGGGACTCAGGGCGGCTTACAACTCATGGGAAGGGGGTGCAAGACAGAACGTAAAATAATATGTGAGTACAAATAATAATAGCAATAAAACACAACATTCATTCAACATTCGGGTGGGGTGTATGAAGCTCATCTCCCCAGGCCTGCCGGGATAGCCAGATCTTAAGGGCTGTGCGGAAGCTCTGGACTGTGGTGAGGGT